AGAAGAAAGAGAGAGCCTTTTTCATGTTCCCATTATATTGGGAGCAGGCCACACCCCCAGGGAAGCATCCCTTTAATTGATTGGCTGTTCATAGCCACTCATCATAGAGTTAACTATGCTTGTATTAGGTTTCATCACCATGGGAATAAGCACATCTCAACTGCTAACCCACTGGAAATCCTAGCTTAGTCAAATTGACACAGAACCCTAACAATTACAGTCCGCCCTTGTCAACTTGACACCTATAAACTATATGCATAATCTCTAAATAAAGAACATTGTAAAGTCATACTTGCACCTAGCATGATATAACTAAAACATGTAAACTGAAAATGCACTAGCCCAATTTTCATCTTATATCTCACAAATGAACAAAGCAAAAATATTTGATGCACACATACAAAACAAAACAAAAAATATATATTCATTTAAGTGTCCAAAGGGCACATTCTATAAGCCAGTCTCCTGCCTGTAAGCACACAGCATTACTCAGTCCATGGGCCTAGAGCCCATAGCTGCTCTATCTTTCCAGGCCACCACCTCTGCCACCATCTCTGCTGTCGCTGTTTTTCCAGGCTGTGGTCCCACACTCCACCCATGCTCTTCCTTAATGATGGTCCTGGTATAGTCTGTTCCTAAAATAAAAGATAACTATTACCCACTTTTACTTATACATCTTCTACAATTACAGCTTTGATGATCAAAGTTAATCCTACTAACAATTCCTCACAATTGAAATCATAAAATTCTGTCAGAATCATTCCACCCCCTTCCACCAGACCCATCTGGAAAAGAGAAAATCTATTCAGTGAGGATTCTCCATTGTCCCCTTATTCTAAAACTAAGCACGCCCATGAAACCCTGTAAGCCAGCCACCTCATGCCTTTATAGCACCCCCATTTTTGAAAGTCAATGTCTAAATTGTCTGTCCCTATCAATCCAGTCTTGGTGTGGCACTGTAGGTTAATATGCCAGACTGCAAAATTGATTTGAACCACAAGGTTGGTGGCTCAAGCTCACCAGCTGCTCCTTGGAAACCTTATACAGGGTTGCTATGTGTTGGAACTGACTTGACAGCACTTAACCACATCAAAAACATCAATCCAGTCCTGGTGTGATACTGTGGGTTAATGCACTGGACTGCAAGGTTGGTTTGAATTGCAAGGTCAGCAGTTTAAGTTCACCAGCTGCTTCTTGTGTAAGAAATGTTGTCGATACCAACAAATGCTCAAGTAATTCTATCTGTACTCATTTTAGTGAGAGTGAGGTTTTCTTTGTTCAGTTTTGCAAAATCGGACACCCAGCCCAGTAGACACAGGCAGACGTGCCGCATGGCTGGCCTGCAAACAGTTTTATTCCTGTCTTGTAAAAGCCCCTTCTCCAGTTCCTCTTTTACTGTGTACTATGGAGTTTTACGATCTACCCCAAACTTCCCATTTTCCCTCCCCTCAGAGTTCCACAATCTAGCCTGAATGGCACCCATGATCTTAATGACTGTATTCTTATTTAAAATTCCTAGTCCTAAAACAGATTTCTTTCCCCACTTCCCCCAATTCATCCTCCTTACATATCCCTAGGTGTGAATCAACAACCTATGTCTGATTCAGCAATCTCATGCATCCTTTATTCCTGAAGATGGACCTCTTGAGAATTTCTTACAGTTGGAAACCCTATACAGGGTTGCTATGAATTGGAACTGACTCTACAGCACTTAACAACAGCAGAAACCCAACGTACTAAGGAGACAAGTGTGTTCCTTGACATTAAGGATCTTCTGTTAGGGTTGGAATTTTGAGCAACTGTATCCATAAACAAAAGCCTAGTTCATCAAATTGTAGCAATTGACACTTGCTCATAGTAGCAAACATCTTTATCTCCATCTGGTCAGGTTCTGTTTGCAACTCAGCCCTAACCATCCAAGCAAGGTCAAATGGTACCATTTGCACGTTTAGGAGTTCGTACACACCTCCCTGCACTTCAAACCACTTTGCCCCTTCACTCTCAGCCCTAGCCCCAAGATGGGAGTCAGTGCCCACGGGCTCAGGAGTTCACAAATTTCACTAAACTTCAGACCAGACCTCTTATCTCATTTCAAGGTCAATGGATAGTAATAGAACATGTCCAAACTCAGCTGGTGTCTTCATTGCTGCATTTCTCTCACACGTAGACCTAGTTGGTCACTAGAAAGCAAACTGCTTGCTGGTTCCTTTTAGCTTTCAGCTAGTTCCAGAATGGAGTTTCCTCTGATGCGCTGACTTTCCTAGGTTTGATGTCTCCAAAGTCCAAAAGCCAAACTGTCTGCTTTTTTCTGCATGCATTTTGAGTTCTCTCAGCAATTTGGGGTTGGTGTATGTCTTTTCAAATGCAAATGCACCAACTTTAAAGGTTTGGGTGGGGCTCAGGATTCCATCTAAAGCCCCATCCTCTACAAAAGTTTAAACCAAGAGGTCTATTTTTTCTGGGCAAATTCTGACACTGCTTTAAGCAAATTCAATCAAGTATACTCGGAAGGAGGATTTATAAACTCTCTGTAATCATCACACCCAACATTCATTTCTATCATGCATGTATGCCTATTTTACAATATTCAGCAGGAGAAACCAATACCATAAGGCAGTCAAACACATAAACCCTTTTAAAACACTCAGTTCAATCTTTTTGTCTCCCTTGGACTAACTCCATTCATTAGCATATGCCCTTGGGCCTCTGGCATGCGTCATTGGCTCCAGGCAAGTCCAGAAGCTGCGGCTCTCCCCTCAGCTAAAGCATTTTATTCCATTCCTCTTGTCCTTTCTCTTACAAAACCTCATATTTTCATGAGTCTGGAGTCATTGTAATGAATCCTGCTTCTGACATCAACTGCTTAAATCAAGTGGGGACCATGTCTGATCCCTCTAACTCCACAAAGGGAAAAAAGGATCAAATTAAAAACCAGCCCAAGACCAATTCCGATGAAGTGAAGGTCAGACACTTTACTCCATTCACGTCATAATGGTCAACTCTACTTTGAGGAGGCAGCTCTTCCCCAGTCATATTTTGAGTGTCTTCCATCCTGGAAGGACTCCTCTTCTGGCACTATATCTGATAATATTCTGGTACTCTTCATCATGTTTCAATATTCAGTATTTTGGTGCTATATGACAGTGTCCTGAAGGGGCGCTGTGGGTTAGTGCACTGGACTGCAAGGTCGACAGTTCAAGCTCACCAGCCACTCCTCAGAAACCCTACACAAGGTGGCTATGGGTGGGAACTGACTCGAAGGCATTTAACAACAACAACATGACAGTATTTCACTACTATTCATAAGGTTTTCAGTGAATAAATATTTGGAAGTAGTCTGTCTCTGTTCTAGTTTGTCTTAGTCTGGAAGCTCAGCTGAAACCTGTCCACTATGGGTGATCCTGCTGCTGGTATTTAAAATACTGGTAGTATAGCTTCCAGAATCATGGCAACATGCAAGTCACCACAGTACAACAATAATAGCAGGAGATTTTGATACACCACTTTTGATGAAGGACAGAACAACTAGAAAGAGCTTAACGAAGACACAGAAGAACCAGACAACACAATCAACCTACTCAACGTCATAAACTTATACAGAGCATTCAACCCAACACCAGCTCAATACACATTCTTTTCCAGTGCACATGGGACTTTCTCTAGAATAGACCATATGTTAGGTTGCAAAGCAAACCTCAATAAACTTTAAAACATCATAATACAACAAAACAGCTTTTCAGATCCTGTTGCTGTTGTTGGTATTAAGTGCCCTCTAATAGATTCCATCCCATAGTGACTCTGTACAGGGTTTCTGAGGAGCAGCTGGTGAGATTGAACCGCCGACCTTGTGGTTCAAACTGACTTTGCCGTCCAGTGCATTAACCCACAGTGCCACACCAGAACTTCCCCTTCTATATTGTACTATTTATTAGGAAAGAAAGCAAAACATTACTCTTTCTTCTGAAATAGAATAATCTCCAGGAGAGATCAATTGAAAAAAAGTATGACACAGAGCTCTTTGATTCTATTCTCTTTTCTCATGGCTCTATCTATAAACTTTCTTTTTAAAACATGCTCATCTCCTCAGTATCTTTTTGTTATACTCCAAAGTAGGGTAGAATGACCTTCTCAGGCAGTTCTGCTTAGAAATCAGCACAGCTTGCTCTCCTGTACCTCTCCTCCCCTTGTCCTAACTGATGCAAATCCAGCAAATACATATTTGGTCCACAACTGCGGACAGTAGACAGCACACCATCACTAGAGTCGGATCAGGTCTAAGTCTGCTGCAGACTGAAACCGTGGGCAAGTAAGTTACTTGATCTTTGTGAGTCGGAACTTTTTACCTGATCCAGGGCAATGATGAAAGTGAAGGAGTTGAACCCTAGAACTATCCAGCACAAAGCTAAGGGCATCATAAATGCTCCGTAAACAATAACTTACATTATTCTAGTCCAGTGTCTAAGGGGTTTGTTTAGACTTCTTAAGCTCTTCTTCTACAATGTATGCATCATAACATCCTTGTCTCTCCTGGTAAGTCACTCCAAGAAGTTAAATAATCTTGAGTGTTTTCCTGGCTCTTTCAGTCCCTTTCGAAAGCAAACTACCCTATTTCTTCTTCTCATACTCAGAACCCTTGAAAGAAGAAAATTCTTTGTCTTCCTGATATCAAAAGGGAGTTTACTTTTCGGAAAATGCTTCTTGATGTGTTTTTATGTTTAAGTGTATTTCTGAACATTGTAAGTTGAATATTATTTCTGACATAGAAACCTGTCTAGCAAGGCAGCCATAATTTTAAGCATAACTCAATAGTATGGGCCAAAAGCTAAAACCTGGGATAATGTCTGTATTAGAATTTCTTCTTATTGATTTAACTTGCATCTTAGGCATATAACCATTTTTAGAGGAATGACTGTCATTATTTTATTGTTATTTGGGGAAAGGCTATAATAATCTTAAAAAAGGTTTTTTCTTTCTTTTGTTGTTAGCTCTTTTGGTTTAACATGGCAGAAAAACCAGTGTGTATAGCCACACAAGTGCCCGAGGATGAAGATACAGTAAGTATATGTTTCAATAGAACTCTGCGTGTCACACTTCAATCAGATTGTATGTTTTCAAAAGACCAGCTTGATAAACTGGTGTAGACCTAGATAATCAAGGGTAATGTTTGAACTTTTGTACAGACTGGAGTTACATATCAACAGTGAGTTATTTTTTTTTTCAGTGTTTCCTGTGTATGCTGACCTTGTAGTATACAAAAGACTATTTAACACTCAAGAAAAATAAATTTAAACTCCAGAACCATCCACAAATGTTTAAATGAAATTACTTTTGGAAGTGGTTGGGTGGCTGCTTGTTGGTTGTTTAACGGAGTGGGAGCTTGAACCAACGATTTCTAAGTTCCATTTTAAGATGAGTCTCTCTATTTAGGGAAAACATATGGTAATTTACATGAAATCTACATTGAAGCATGAATATTTGAATGTGAGCCATTGGTGATTCCCTGGTAGAGTTCTCACCCTCCCTGTTCTGGTGTGGTGCTGTAGGATCAGCATTGGACTGCTAACTGCAAAGTCAGCGGTTCAAGTCCACCATTTGCTCCTCAGAAACCCTATACAGAGTTGCTATGAGTAGGAATGGACTGATCGCACTTAACAACAATGCGGAAGACCCAGGTTTGATTCCCATCCAATGCATGTCATATGTGGCCACCTCCTTCTTGCATGTTGCTGTGATGCTGAATAGGCTTCAGTGGAGCTTCCAGATCAAAACAGACTAGGAAGAAAGACCTAATGTTCTACTTCAAAAACGCAACCAATAAACCCCTCTTGGCTCACAATGGTCTGGTCCATACATGATTATGGGGATGGTGTAGGACCAAGCAGCATTTTATTGCATGTGCATGAGGTCAATATGAGTTGAGCACCAGCTCAACATCAGCTAACAACAAGTATATCTGAATGGGTGAAAACTGAGACTTTTAGAGTTTCTTAAGACAGAAAATTTCAAGTATTCATTCAACAATATTAAATTGTCTTCTGTCCATTTATGTTGAATAAGTAGGAGCTCTGACCTTGGTGTTTCTTCCTCAACCATGCTAAGGACAATGCAGTTTTGCTAGAAATTTACTTGGACCCATCAAACTACCATACTTTTTTCTATTCTCTTCTCACTGTTATTTTTCTGGAGTGAATCATTTGTTTTCTAGAACTACTGTTGTTGTTGTTAAGTGCAGTCAAGTCTGTTCTGACTCATAGCGACCCTGTATAGGGTTTCTGAGGAGCAGCTGGTGAGCTTGAACCGCCAACCTTGCAGTTCAAACGGCTTTGCAGTCTGGCGCATTAACCCACAGCATCACATGAGGACTCCAGAACAACAAATAAAATATCACAAGTGGGTGGTGTTAAAGACAGAAATCTATTGTCTTATGGTTTTGGAGGCTACAATACCAAATCAGGATGTTGGCTGTAGGGGAAGGTCATTCCTTGTTTCATTTGCTTTGTTGTTGTTAAGTGCCATAGAGTTGGTTCTGACTCACAGTGACCCTGCATAGCATTTCCAGGGAGCAGTTTGTGGGTTTGAACTGCTGGCCTTGTAGTTCATAGTTCAATAACACCAGAAGTTGTTATTGTTAGGTGTTGTTGAGTTGGTTCTGACTCATAGGGATCCTATGTACAATAAATCAAAACAATCCTTGGTTCTGAGCAGGAAGGGACAAGAAAGAAGGAGTGGAAATGTAAAACACAGGGAGGAAGTGGGAAGAACATTGCTACCTTGTGGGGATTTCAATCAGTGTCATGAAACAAAACATTTATGAATTATTGAATTGAATACCATTTTGCTCTATAAACTTTCACCCAAATCACAATAAAAAGATTAAAAGAAAGAAAACTCTTTGACACACATGGAGTCACCAAGAGTTGGAGTGGACTCGGTGGTCACTTTTTTTGCCTGGGTACCTTCCTTCATTTATCCCTCTCTTACCTCTTCCTGGTGTGGCGCTGCGGCTTAATGCGCTGGACTGCAAAGTCAGTTTGAACTACAAGCAGTGCTGGCGGTTCAAGCTCACTAGCTGCTCCTTGGAAACCGTGTACAGGGTCACTGTGGGTTGGAACCAACACGACAACACTGAACAACAACACTTCTTCCTCCCTCCTCACTTTCCTTTCTTTCCTGGCTGTTTAATGGGTTTCTACACCAGGAATTGTGGGAAACCTGGGATTCTGCGCAGTGTGCCAGTGTTCCCCTGAGAACTGACCATGAATTATAGGAGTCTGGCCATCAGAAGTAAGTTCAGGCTGCCTCATCCTTTGGTCTGGATACACTTACCGCCATAGGCTTTATTCTTTAAAGCTATATAACAACATTAAATCATGACACTTAAAATCAACTCAGCTTCTTCTTTTCCCTCTTTATGCTTTTATTAAGCTTCATTTGCCATCATGCTATATCTTATAAATATGAGATGAGTTCAAGGTTTACAAATAGAACATAGTGATACATTTTAATTCTTTTGGATTTCTCCTGGTTTCGCTTCCGTCACACACAATCTTTGCCTAATTGTCATGATATTGGTTCTTCTGTCCTCCCTGTCCTTTATTTATCATCTACTTGTTGAGGCTTATCTTTTTGCATTGAGAGCGGGTATTTCTCTCATCTTGTTCTCAGGCCTTTTGTTCTTCTTTATCTGCTTACAAATGTTGACTGGACTCCCGCGTATCCACGTGCCTTCAGGGTATGTCTACCCTTATTTTAATCCATTAAATGTCTGCACCGCCAAGGGTTGTTGTTAGGTGCTGTGGAGTCGCTTCTGGCTCCTAGCAGCCCTGTGCACTATGGAATGAAACACAGCCCAGTCCTGTGCCATCCTCACAATTGTTGTTATGTTTGAGCCCATTGCTGCTCCCACTGTGCCAGTCCATCTCCTTGGGGGTCTTCCTCTTTTTCACTGGCCCCCCACGTCACCAAGTATGATTGCCTTCTCTAGGGACGGGTCCCTTATGATAATATGTCTGAAGTATAAAAGTCAATGTCTTGCCAACCTGGTTTCTAAGGCATCTTCTGGCTGTGGAGTCCCGATGTGGCACAAACCAGAAAGTCGGTTTGAACCCCAAGGTCAGGACTTGAAACCCACCAGTCACTCCTTGGAAACCCTATACAGGGTCACTATGAGTTAGAACCGACTTGATGGCACACAACAACAACAACAACATTCTGGCTGTATTTCTTCTAACACAGATTTGTCTTTCTGGCAGTCCATGGTACCTTTAATATTCTTCTCCAACACCATAACTCAAATGCACCAATTCTTCTATGGTCTTCCTTATTCATTGTCCAACTTTCACATGTGTATGATGCTACTGAAAATAACATGGCTTGGGTCAGGCGTACCTTAATATTCTGGTGCTATCTGATAGAGTTCCACTGCTATTTATAAGGTTTTCAGTGGCTAAACATTCAGAAGCAGTCCATCTCTCCTTTCTAGTCTGTCTTAGTCTGGAAGCTGAGTTGAAAGCTGTTCACTATGGAGGACCCTTCTGGTATTTAAAATAATCATGGCATAGCTTTCAGCATCATAGCAACACATAAGCCACCACAGTATGACAGAGGAAGGGTGGACCGCTCCAGGGTCTCCTTTGTCATATTATTGCGACTCGTTTTTCAGAGTAGTGATATCATATTCATCCTCAGACTTGGGTTCTTACCCCAGGTCCTTTTTCTTTCCAATGACAAATGTTATCTTTCTACAAAATTTTTGTATTATGAATTGACTGAATGCTACCAGACAAGATCATCAGCTTTACATTTAACAAATTATACGCCTTGTTTCATCTCAATGATTACAATCCCCTCCGTGCACCAACAGATAGATATCCTACTTCCTCCCTGTGGCTTCCTTTTTACAACTTGTATTTCACAAATGAACAAAGCAAAAATATTTGATGTATACATACAAAACAAAAATATATATAATCATTTAAATTTCCTAAGGGAATATTGGGAATCCTGGTGTGGCACTGTGGATTAATGTGCTAGACTGTAAAGTCGATTTGAACCGAAAGGTTGGTGGTTCAAGCTCACTAGCTATACCTCAGAAACCCTATACAGGGTCGCTGTGAGTCAGAACCGACTTGATGGCACTTAACAACAGCAACAACATGGGTACATTCTGCCAGCTAGCCTCCTGTCTGCAGGCACACTGCCTTACTCAGTCCATGGGCCTAGAGCCCACAGCTGCTCTATCTCACCATGCCACCATCTCTGCTGTTGCTGCTTTCTAAGGTGGGATCTCATACTCCACTCATGATCTTCCTTCTTGATGGTCCTGGAATCCATCCTCTGTTCCTGAAATGAACGGTTAACAACTCCCTACTTGAAGTTACATATCTTCTATAGTTCCAGTTGTGACAATCATAATTAATCCTGCTAATCATGTCTACCACAGCCATCTATTTTATTCTCATGTCCCTAAATCACTTACTAAAGAGCTCTGGTAGTGTAGTGTTATGAATCAGGCTGCTAACCTCAAGGTTGGCAGTTAGAAACTACCAGCTGTTCCACAGGAGAAAGATGAGGCTTTCTGCTCCTGTAAAGATTTGTGAGATGCTGTGATTCTGAAAGCTATGCTACCGATATTTTAAATACCAGCAGGGTCGGTCACCCATGGTTGGCAGGTGAGCTTCCAGACAAAGACA